CACACACACACACACACACACACACACACACACACACACACACGGGTGCACACTGGGGAAGGCAGTGAGCCCCGTCAGCTGTGCTGTGTGACCCTTCCCTACACAGCCCCAGTCGGGGCTGAACTGATAGGGGGAGAGAAGGCAGGACCGCGGCCTAGGGGAAGAGACACACCAGGTCCCCGGGGCGAGAAAGCCCTGGGCTTCTGGATCTGAGTGTGGATTACGTGAGTGGGTTCTCTTTCTTACACTAGTGGGGAGATTCATGGAGCTCTTTGCTAATGGTGTGGGTGTGTATATTAAATTTCCATAAAATGGCTTATTTAAAAATATATCTGATATCTATAATTCCATGTGAATGAAATATCCAGAATAGGCAAATCCCAAGAGAGAAAAAAGAGAAAAGGCTGGGGGAGGGGTTCTGGGGGTGGCTTCTTCATAGGCGTGGCGGAATGTACTGGGACTAGACAGAGGTGATGGCTGAAACACGGAGACTCCATCAAATGCCACAGAACTGTACACTTCAAAATGGCTAAAATGGTGGGTTACAAGTTATGTGTATTTTGCCACATTATTAATTAAACATCTGTCTGGGCCTGGGGATGTGGCTCAGTGGTAGAGCACTTGCCTGGCATGTGTGAGGCCCAGCTCTGCAATATCTATCTCACCATCCAGGTATGGTGGCACATGCTTGTAATCCTGGCTACTCGGGAGGCTGGGGCTGGAGGTTCACAAGTCAGAGGCTAGCCTCAGCAACTTAATGAGACCCTCAGCCCCTTAGTGAAACCTTGTCTCAAAATAAAAATGAAAAGGGCTTGGAGAGGTGTGGCTAGGGGTTAGAGTACTTGCCTAGCTTGTGTGAGGCCCTGGGTTCAGTCTGCATACTGGGGAAAAAGAAAAAAAGAAAAAAAAAGGAGGAGGAGAAGAAGGGAGATAAAAAAGAGAGGAGGAAAAGGAGAAGGAAGAAGAAATATATATGAAGGAAATAGGCTAAATGCTGTCAAGAGTAAAAACCTGAGGCTGGGGCTGGGGCTCAGGGGCAGAGCACTTGCCTCTCACCTGTGAGGCACTGGGTTCAATCCTCAGCACAACTTAAAAATAAAATAACGATGTTGTGTCCATCTACATTATAAATATATAAGTGAACATTTAAAGAAAAAAAGAGTAGAACCTAACTCTGAGTGATCAGACCAGAGGTTCTCAGATTTGAGCACAACTCAGAGTCACCTGCAGGTGACTTGGGACCGGTGCCCCCCCCCCAGCTGTTTTCGGATTCTGTTATTTGGGGGTGGGGTCTGGGAGCCTGCATTCCCCGGGTGATGCTGACCTGTGCTCCTGGGGGCCTGGGGGTGGCTGTCGAGAGCCACTGCACCAGACAACTGCTGGGACTTTTCTGTAGGTTGGGACAACACACACAAGAAAGGGTGAGCGCCATCGGGAGAGGGTGGGAGGCTGGCTGGGGGAGCAGGGCCTGAGGGCCGGGGGAGGGTTTTCCCGGGGTGAGCCCAGGTCCCAGAGGAATGTGCCCCAGGCTGCCCGGCCCTCAAGACCATGGTGGGCAGCCCGGGCTTCTGGGGAGTGTGGGGCAGACCCTGGCACCGGGCGGGGTCTCGCCTGGGATCTACCTGCCCAGGGGAAGTGTGGCCAGACGGGGAGCTGCGGGAACCCTGGGCCGGGGGCTCAAGATGAGCAGGGCCTGGAGCAGTTGACAGGGGGCTCTGAGGCGTTCGCAGGCAGTTCTAGAACTCAGGGCTGGGTTTGGTGGGGAGATGAGCTTTCCTCTTGGGTGGTGGGGGTGGTGGTGGGAGGCATTTTGGCGACAACCGGGTTGGGCCTCCCGGCAGGACGGAGGTTTGGGCGTTGGGGCTGAGCTAGGATAGACTCCCGTTTATTCAAGTTTGGTTCCAAGACCTGCTGGGCAAGGTTCTGGGTGGCCGGGAGAGGCACCCTGCTTACAGGAAGCTGGGTCTGTGGCCACGTCCACTACCACCCTGGGTCTCAGAGTCCTCATCAGAACCTTCCAGGACTGGGGCGTAGGTTAATCCATTAACCCTCATGCTGCACCAGGGCTCACTCGTTAGTGTTAACGCGGAAGTGCTTCGCTGTGCCTGGCACACGGTCAGCTACCACCATCGCCACCAAGGTCAACGTCAAGGTCAGCACATTATAATCCTCTTCTTCACACCAGCACCATCACTATTGCCACATAATCCTCAGGCCAATGTCACAATCACCATTGTCACTGCAACTGTCACCACCACCTCTCTGTCATCATCCTCTCCGCCTCATCACCACCGTCACCCGTTGTCACCGTTCTCGTCTCCATCATCTCCCCTCTCATACCATCATCATGGTCATCACGTGACGGCTCAACCGTGAGGTGTCCCCAAGAGCTCAGCTGTGGGACCTGCAGGAAACCTGAGAGCAGGCCACTGGGTGACGATAGCCTACCTAGCAGCACTCTGACCCCTGGTAGGAATTAACTGGGTGGTGACCATATGCACCTCGGGAAAGGCTGGAGGATGTCACTGGGCTGTGCCTTTTCGTCCCTGATGAGTGGGACTCTCTGCCTCCTGGTTGACCTGTCCTGAGCTGCTTTCCTCAGCCGAGCCTGTCCACCATGACGCTCTGCCTCACCTGGGGCCCAGAGGTGAGGAGTCAGCCAACCACGGACTGAACCTCTGAACTATGAGCTCCCAGGAACTTCCCCTTCTCTCTGGGTTTTCTTTCTTTTCATTTGTAGCCGGGATTGAACCCAAGGACAGTTCACCACTGAGCCACATCCCCAGTCCTTTTTATTTTTAAGTTTGAGACAGGCCCTTGCTAAGTTGCTTAGGGCCTCGTAAGTTGCTGAGGCTGGCTTTGAACTCTCGATTTTCCTGCCTCAGCCTCTGGAGTCCAAGTTGCTGGGGCCACAGGTGTGTGCCACCAGGCCAGGTGTCTATGTTGTTCCTGGGAGGTCTTTTGGTCCCAGCAATAAAAAGCTGAGTAGAGCACTGTCACCACCGTCACCCCCATCCTCAGTGCCATCACCATCAGGTGGGCAGGGAGGCTGGATCCAGGCAGGACTGACCACCGGCACAGAGGGTGGGTCCCGACCGCAGGCTGCCTAGGCGCGTGTGTTCACCTCTCTCTGCCTCCTCCTCTGTGACATGGGGACAAAGACAGAACCTCCCAGGGAGATTCTCGGGAGCATTCAGTGACATGCAGTATGCCAAGGCCCCAGCAAGTGTCCTGGCCCACAGCAAGGTACTTGTCACTGTCCTGTTTAGAGGGGAACACAGGGGGGAGGGTCTGGGAGGGAAGTGGACTGAGACAGAAGCTGAAGGACAGAGGCCCCCAGGCCAAGGGTAGGGCTGGGTAGGGACCCGGGAGAGCGCAGGAACAGGGCAGGGGGTGGGCCATGGAGAGTCTAGGGAAATACGTGAGCAGAGGGGACAGTGGGTCCTGCCTGGGAGCAGGAGTGGCAGCCTGACTCTAAAGTGCCGCAGGGGCTGGGTGTGCTGGCCAGGGCTGAGGGCAGGAGGGCCACCGGTTCAAGGGCAGTCTCACAATTTAGTGAGGTCCTGTCTCAAAATAAAAAATGAAAAAGGCTGGGGATGGGGCTCAGTGGTGAAGCACCCCTGGGTTCTGTCCCTGGGACCACAACAAATAATAAAAAATAAAAGTAAAATAAAAACTAACTAAAACACCCCGTGGGATCCCACTCCCCACCCCACCCCTGACCCTGGTGGCCTCTTCATTGTCGCTCCCCAGGACCATGGCGTGCTCTCAGTGCAACCTCACTCCCAGGCTCTGTTCACAGAGCAGCCAGAGACCCCCGCCCAGCGCCTGTGCTCACAGCCAGGCCCCCAGGCTCCAGTTGGCCTGAAGCTGCCGCTTATCCCAGCCTCGGGCCTTTACCCAGCTCTGCCTGGCCTCCTCCCTCAGCCGTCCAGGGCCTCCCCGCAGCCCCTGCTGGTCTTTCCCCGAACACCACCTTCTCTGGGACGCTTCCCGCCCCCGCACTCCCCGTCCTCCCTCTCTCCAAGCCTGCGTCCCCTTCTAACAGATCCATCGATTTTTAAATGGAGGCAAAATGTACCCAAAGCCACCATTTGAGAGACTGCAGGAGGGGAGGGGGGGAGCCGGTGGGCACGCGCACAATGTGTACAGCCACCACCTCTCCCCAGCCGCGACTTTCATCACCCCCAAGGTAAGCCCTAACCTGCGAGCCCCCCCAGGGGCCCTGGGGCTGCCTTAGGCTCTGTCTATGGATCTGCCTGCTGCAGAATGTGCAGTCCCGCACAACGCTGCCCTTGGTGGCTCACCACCTTCCCTTAGCGCCACGTTTCAAGGTCGTCCATGCACGCAGTGGTATTTACTAGGGTCCTTCCTTCCTATCTGCCACCCCCATGAGGACCCTTACTTTAGGAAGGTAGGGGTCTCCAGGCCATGGCACAGGCCGAGCACACAGGGGCACTCAATAAATGCATACTGAATGACCCTTGATCCAGCTCTCAGTCCACTCCTGTCCTGTTGGGGCCTTTGATCCTCTCCAAACTCTGCCCCCAAGACATGACCTCTCCTCTCCTCTGACTGCCCCCCACCCGTCCCCTCCTCCCACTGCCCCCCACCTGTCCCCTCCTCCCACTGTCCCCCACCTGTCCCCTCCTCTAACTGTCTCCCACCTGTCCCCTCCTC